TGTGTGTGTGTGTGTGTGTGTGTGTGTGTGTGTGTGTGGTACTAAACTAACTCCACAAAGTCTTTCCCGACAAACTGTCAATTGCAGTGATTGTTCTAAAAAATGTGTTTTATTTATTTATTTATTGAGGCTAGAAAAAAAATCATGAAACAACTCCCCAGGTTCTGCATTTAATCAACACAGTTCAATAGCACTCTGGCTGGTGTTGCGTTAAAGCGGGGCCCCCCTGTGCTGCTGAGGCTGTCAGCAAAGGTTCCTTTCTGACCTTGTCTTGAAGACAATCTCATTTATCGTCTTTGCCTATCTCAGTGACATGAGACACGGTGCAGATCGATGCAAAGTTGTGAATATTTTATGGGGTGTATCATGTACTCACCSGGCACCAGGATTTGTTTGCGAGCAAGAACTACACTAACACTTGATACCAATGAATAAGTGAAACAAAGTGGTAGAATGGATTTTTAGCTTGCAAGTTTGAAACCTTGGAGTGATGAATATGCAACTTTGCTTTCGAGCCCTTGCAGCCACTAAATAGGGAATAAAGTTTGTTACCGTCTGGCAGATGGRCACGTCTGAAGTTGATGAAACAGAAACGAGCCAGAGTTTAACTACTTTAGCAAAYGGTGATACATATTTTTATTTGGTAAACTTGTTAAATATCCATGGAAGCTCCACAAAAAAGCAAAGTCGGCTTCTGACAGATCATTAAACCTAGATTATGCTAATAACTATAATTATTCTGAACAGAACAATTATAGGAGTGAAATTGTGGAGTAGTGGTTAGAGTTGTTGCCTCAAAGGAAGATGGTTGCAGGTTCAAATCCTAGCTGTGACCTTTCTGTTTTGAGTTTGAATGTTCTTTCCAGTGAATATATGGGTGATGAAATTGCAACTTGTTCAGGGTGTATGCCAACATTGACAACTGAAAATAAGGGCACACTTTAACCCTAACCTACATGAAAAGTGAGCAAAGATAATGCATAGATTGCTTTAAAATATCTATACGAGTTTATATGAAAATGGAAAGTGGCATTTATGGTAAATTGTAAATGGACTGTACTTATATAGTGCCTTTCTATTCATCCAGGACACTCAAAGCGCTTCATACTACAGACCGTTCACCCATTCACACACTGATGATGGCAAACTACAATTGTAGCCACAGCTGGGACACACTGACAGAAGTGAGGCTGCCATACACAGGCACCACCGGACCATCTGACCACCATCAGTAGACAAGGCGAGTGAAGTGTCTTGCCCAAGGACACAATGGCATATGGGCATGGCGGAGAGTTGAACCCGTTACTTGCAGGTCCCAAAGCTGGCTGCTCTACCACTACACCACAGCCACCCCTATTTATTTGAGAATTAGTGTGAGATGTTAAACCAAAAACTCCAGTAACTGAGTCTTGTTCAAAGCTCACAGTGAAGAACACTGTAAAGACGTGGGGGGCAGGAAGGGTTGTAGGGGGATTGAACCGCTGTAAGGCCAAAAGGTACATAGCATCCTGAGTTAATGAATATTTGATGAAGAACAGGATGATGTGGTCAGTAGTCTTGATTGATGACTTTGAATCATTTGAACTCACATGWTGAATCTTTAGAGATTACTAGAGAGGTTGACAAAACAGCGAACTAAAGATATTAGGTACAAATGTGATCTTGGTTGCTGTTTAGCAATAATATCTTGGTAWGTATGTCTGACTGATCCATTTTTGACCAAAATAAATAGTCTTTCTGTCATCAAAAAGACACAGTTCAAACAAAGGTTGATTTTGTTGTCTTTAAAGAGGACAGTATAAACAAAAGCTCTTTGACTTCCAGGTTGTGATGGCCAAATAACAGCTGTTTAGTTCTGACAAAGGAAAAGACTTGTGTACTTAGATTTAAAGTTGGATCACAGCATACAACACAAATGTCTGTATAAATGTCAAGGAGAAGAAAAATCAATATRCAATGATCACTCAGAAATACCACTGTGGTCACTCCCGGACTGACACTGGACTGGAAAGTGATACGGCCGTGTTGTTCTTTACCTTTGGCAGGGCATACTTGGGAAACCTCATCAGGACAAACTCATTGCGCCGATAGGACACATAGTGCTTGGTGCGATTCCCTGTGGTGACCTGTGGAATGACAAACAAACGTAAAAATGGTGACATGTGTTAAACTTTTCAACATAGAAAATAGTGTCTACGTTGTAATAAATTACAACACTATTCAAAATGGGGCTGTGGTTGTTCAGTGGTTAGTGCTGCGATCTCGAAATTCTGAGGCTGCAGGATTGAGCCCAGGAAGCGTCAGGAAGATCATACAGTGTAAAACACTTGTCAGGTCTTTAATTTAAAAAACTATTCAAAATAAGAGCTTATAAATACACTGAGAATTAAAACAGAGCTGAACAACTTGAAGAAATTACACACCTAGTTAACAAAAGAGAATGCATACTCGTTCAATTAAAGGTCTAAATCTATAAAGTGAACTTTTCTGAAAAGAAAAAAATATATATTTTCAGACTCAATAAGGCATCCAATGTTAACAAACGCTCAGCTTGCTGGCAGAGGTACACGATTCACTATTTGTTTTAGATGAGTCAACCTGTGCTGAAAGATAAATGTCAAAATAAAAAACCTCTCCGACAATGCACCTTGGCATTTAACTCAAAAACAGGTATAAAAGACTGGATCATGCTGCACTCCTGTACAAAATGCTCACAAGGTGTTGAGACTAACTACACATAAAGTCAAAGCTTTGATTTAGCAGAAGAAAATTTGACAATATGACAGCAGTGGTGATTGACAGTGACATAAACTGATGCTGAACATGTCAAATCCAAAGATTCACTGATGTACATATACCACTTCCTACACACCACCTGTCGGGCTTTAACATTTCATATGGGCTTTGAAATCTGATGGGAATTTTGAATTCAGGGCTTCTATTTTGAGCAGATTAAAAAAAACTAACATTTTTTGAGTCTTTGTCATCAGAGTTCAGATTGAGCTGTGATTAAAACCTTGAGTTTTGATTGAAAGGGACAGATAAGCACAGAAAATTCTTTCAATGCTTAACAAAGAAGAAAAAGCAATGGAAGTGATTTTTCAAATCATAAATCCCTGAAGGATRAGGTATTGACTGAGTTTTCAAAAGGAATCACTTCTGAGGAACAGCTGGAAAACTGAGCTGGTGAAGTGGATGTGGGGGGTTCTGATACTTTATTCTCGGCTCTGCACTGATGCTGCATATTTCTCTACTGCTCTAAAATCAGATAAGACCCCTAAGGACCTTACTACATCTTAGCATGCCGTCTAAATACTCCATCCTCCAAAAGTAGGTTACACGGGGATGAGATGTTAGATGTTTTACMATTTAAAGACAAGAATTTGAGCACAAACCTAACAATGAGACAAATGTAAAAGCTGAATTTAAGGATCAGTCAGTGATGTAGGCTCTTTATGGTTTTCCTCTGCTCTCCTTGGGTGCTTTAACAGCTCCTCACTGCTCCACTTGTGTACATCGCATAGTGTCATGGGTCAAATGCAGATAGTGTTTTTTGTCATTGTATGAGCACATACATTAATGGCTGTGGCTGAGGGATTGGAGGCGTCATTCCTCTAATGCAAGAGTTGGTGCTATTTGGTCATATGTCGAAGTGTTCCTGGGCAAGAAATTGAAACACCATTGCCTCTGATGTGTCCCAACACTGAACCCCCATTGCCTCTGATGTGTCCCAACACTGAACCCCCATTGCCTCTGATGTGTCCCATCAGTGTATGAACGTGATTTAAAACACTGATTAGTCTCTATAGACTGATTTATCTGTATTAGCTTTATAGACAGATCTAGTAGAGTTCTGAATGAATATGTTTGTGAATGAGTAAATGAGGACACAGATTGTAGTGTAAGGCACTTTGAGTATCCTGGTAGGATAGAAAGGTGCTATATACTGTAAGTACAGTACATCTACCATGAGCATTTATTGCAAAGCAGTATGTTCTTCTGCCTATAATTTTGCTGAAAATTATTGCAAATTATTGTGGTAGTACATTAGGGAAATATCAGTCAACATTTACTCATGTGTATAGGCCCACAGCTTGTTGTAGGTATCCCAACTACAGTCTGTAGGACTGCCTTACAGACCTGGATTTGACGTCAACACTCAATCCACTGGAGGGAGCTGATGGACAGTAGACAGGCACGAGAACTGATAACGACCCAAATCTAAGGTTTGAGAAAGCTCTCATCGCCCTGACAAGGAAAACTTTAAGTACATTTGTTGGAGTCCATAACTGGGTACAATCTTCTCAATCGTCACAAAATAATGATTGGACTCCAGGACAATGGTCTGTGTGATGCCTGTGGCATTGAATTAGAGACCTCTTTGCACTACTTCAGCCACTGCCTGACTCTGAGTGGTCAAAGGAAAGCAAATATTGCTGTTTGTTTACAGTCTTTTTGGAAAATCCAATTCACCAGAAAAAATCTTTCGAAGAATCAAAGATGAGAAAATGGGACTTGATAAAAATTGTGAATTTAAACACCAGGAGTCTGCTTAAAAACCTGGTTCTGGGCAAAAAAAAAAAAAAAAAAAAAAAAACATCCCATCAACATTTTCAGGTAACTTATAAATAACTTTACATAAATTTATAAACATTACAAATATTAAAGCATTTTTGAATTGTAAGGTTGGCATGGCAAGGCCAGAGTTCAAACTTGGATTCGTACCTGCAAAAACACCAATATTGGACGAAGCCCAGAAAAGGCCTGCAGGGCGTTTGGGGTGGCATTGTAATGTGGTAAGAACCAAATAAAAACAAGCAAAAGCTAAACAGTTAGCAGCTACATGAGACACGGTACTGTTAGAACGTGGAAATGATGAACTCCGGGAAGCATGGGCATGTCACAAACTGAACTGTGTTTGAACTTTAATTTCTTTATCGAACAGAATTTATGTCAGTATTTGTTAGTTTATTTAAAATTAGTAAATTACATTTTTCTTAATAATTTAGCTTGAAAACAGATGAAAAAGCACAAGAGAAAAAAATTGACATTGTTTACAGTAGACCTACTGTAATTCTGGTTTTCGTGATATCACAGGGATTACTGCAAACTACTAGTTGTTAGGTTCCATGAAAAAAATCCAGAACAGACTGAGTCTGCAAACTGAGAAACAAAACTTTGCGGGGTTCAAGGTTTTTGCATTTGCCGTAATAGGCCACTACCAGACTGATTTGTGGAACCTGAAGTTTTATTCAGGCTGAGCTGCTGGTGATAATTTAACATTGTCTCACTTTGTTTCAGCTGGTCTTGAATCACCTAGAAAAGGAAGAGAAGTAGATTGAGCTTGATTTTGTCCACTGTTGTGTCRCAAATAAAACGACATTACACAAATATTTGTGCATTTTGAATATAATGATCCATGCTCATATTGAGGCGGCACTTTGTTTAAAGCAAACACAACCAGGATCGGGGTAAAAGGCCAGGTAGACTGTGGCATTGTTCCGTCTTTAATTGCTTATTTCATTTATTTCTTAGTAAATAACAACTTATGTGAATGTAGGTTGATAATAAATCTAAATTTGGCATGAGTTTTAATTTTATTTAGGATTTTAATAAAACTCCATTCAGATTACRGGGCAGGGAGCTGAGAGCTTTAAGGATAAAAACCCTCTGATATTACTTGATATTATTAATATTTTTACGTACTGTTTGAAATTTGCAGTATGAACACATCAAATATTTTCCTATTTTGATTTTGGCAGGACAGACAAAATAAATATTCTTGTTTAATCAGTTTTAGTGACTAAAAGTAACTGTTCATCCAATCAGCTCCAAGCTTTGTCAAACAGATGTTCTTCGACCACGTTTGTCGGTTCATACTGACATACTGGGGGAGGATAAAAATCTAGTTTGTGGCAGTTGCATGACATTTTATTTATTCTGGCTATTACTCACAAAAACTAATGCTACTCACTCATTTACACATATTTATGAGCCCAGATACACACAAACAGAGGTGCACAAACCCCAAGAAGACCCCATTAATTTATCCTATTATACGAAGTCTGCTCTGCTACACCAGCTTATGGATATTCTCCTGTTATCACATGCAAATAGGATTCAGCTACTGGCCGTTGCATAGTGCAATATACTGTACTGCATAGGAAGTCAATTATCGACAAGGCAAGTTCGACACAGTCCCAGACCAGTGGTTCTTTTTTCCATTTTAAGCAGACTGCAGTGAATGTATTATTAAGGCATCAGGAATGTATTGGGAAAGAAGTCGGGATCCTGACAGAAAACACGGTGACAAATAAATGCATAGTTTGACTGATGCAACAGGCACACAGCGAATTAATAATGTTGCAGGTATCAGAGTTTTTTTGGGGTTATTTTTTAGTAGTCTTTTTGTGTTTGTGGTTGTTGTCATTTCATTGATTCTCTGTGTTCTGTTCCTGATTCTCTGCGTCATCACTTCTGTACTTTTCCTCAGCTCAGCTCCTGCTCCTCAGTCCTGCCTCCTCTCACACCTGTTCTCTGTCTCATCAAGCTCAGCTGTCTCCTTTTTGCTTGTCAACCACAGCCCTTTGATTCCCTCCAACTCCGTTCACTCACCAGTTGGACACTATTTGTTGTAAACACCACGTTCTGTTCCCTTGTGCCTCCTCAGTGTTTTTTTAAGTAGTTTGTTCACCAGTTTGTCAGATTTGTTTTATTTAATGAAAAAAACTAAATACTCCTAGCGTCGAGACATTGTTGTGTGTATTAATAAGTGCTGTAAAGTTTGGGATAACAAACAACGTTTTTATAAGTAAAAATAAAATTGCTGTTACAGTAAAACTTTCTGTTTTTTAAAGGAGACCAATTATGGGTCCTAGAAATTTTTATGGTATGTCTGTGGGCTATCCAGACCATGTTCATCCAATTTAATGCACAAAATAATTCTCAGATAATAAAATTTC